GATATACTTTAAGGTTCCAATAAGCCATGAAAGCACCAGAGGTGATAAACTGTTTTGTACTTTTTTAAATCTCAATAGATGCAAAGAATAAGTTTTACTTGAATTTTTACATTTTTTTATTTTATCTTGTGACCACAGTGAGTATTAATAAAAGTAAATAACTAGCTTTAATATGTAAAGATAATTTTTAAGCGTAAGCAGTTAGTTATAAATAATTAAATTAGGTAGTTTGATAACCTTAGTCATTATGGATTTACATGGCCACTATTAAATTTTATTTTTTAACAATATTTGTTAAAAAAACACTATTAAAATCAAAATCTAATAACATTTCACAGTTTAAAATACATGTCATTTATGACATTAGGATAATTACAAATTAAAAGCTACAAAACATTTATGTCTTGTAACAATACTAAAAAAATATTTATCCGTCATTTTAACCTGAAGCTTTCCCATTTTGGGTACTTCATATCAATTTCCAGCACCTTTTCTAACAATTAAAGATTTGTCTCAATATGCAAACCAATGCTCTCGCTCGTTTCTATGTGCTTTATGTCCTAACTTGCCAACCTCTCCACAATGCACCTATGAGGGTTTAATTGATCTGGTAAAAGTTAAATAGTCCAAAACCTCCCGACAGACGTATTATTGCTATGTCTGAACGTATTTACAATATCAGACAAAGCTTCTTATTTAAAAGTAACCTTAGACCATAAAGGCATTTTCTGATGCTAACAAAATCAATTACAGCTCACAAGTAATTAAACAAGAACAGTCTAATTCAAACTAAAAATGTGGACTAGTGGTGAAAGATTATAAAATTTAATTTGGCTCAGTAACTATCATATGAGAAAAAAGAAATGGGAAATTATGGTAAAGGCTCAAATCATAAACTACTGGATAACTTACATAATAATAACTGCATATATTTTTGAACAATTTTCTTTATGTATTCAGTTTCTTTCTTCAACACGTTTCCTTTTCATTTTAAATTTTTAGATTTAATTAAGGATTTCTGTTATTCTAAAAAAGTCTAAATGCATTTAGAATTTATACAAAAATCAGCTAATTTTATTTCTTTAGTAATATGAACATTCAGAAGAAATACAAAATCTGTACGGTAAAGGCAGGTTACAAAGCTGATGTGGCAGAATATTTAGAATTTAGTGACACACCGAACAACAAAATCTAGAAATGGCAAAACTTTTAGAATTTAGAGCAGACATTGGAAGCAGAAATTAAAAAGGCACTAGGCAGCAGAATTTAGGATTTGCAGAGATTGCATCAGGTGAGAAAATGTGTACCAGCTCTGTGTATGATGCATTAAGACATATTAGATGAAATCTTTTAAATTGCAAGTTTTCAATTTATTTATTAATAAAAACATTCCTATCTATAATTCCTGCCCATGTGATAAGATTAGAAGCGTTTTTGATATTTTCCATGCTTGTGTCTAGTGAAAAGTAGAGAAAATAAAAGGAAGATAAACATGTTAATATTCCAGTATCAGAAGTAAAACATTCAAATATTATGTTTTCATTGTTCTTCCAGACATTCTCAAAAAACTAAGAAATTTATTGCAAACTTTCTGTAAAATACATCTATTATGTGTTGATACCATGGAGATATTTTTCATTTTGTCACATATTTCTTGAATCTTCTAGAATTGTGAGTCTATAAATCTTGCCTTCAAATCCTTCTAAATTTTCCAAGCTGTGATGCCTAAAATCCTAAAGAAAAATTATCCCTACCAATTCTGCAAGAGCAAAAAGCCAGAAATATTTTGGGAAAAAAAAAAAGGGAGGGAAAAAGTGTAAAATTAATTTTATAGAGAAAACTGGTGCATATTCTGAGAATTTTGGATATTCTGAGACAATCACATCGGAAAAATACGCTTTTACTATGAAAAAATTAAAAACAAGACATTTTTAATTAATTACATAGCTAATTTTGCTTTTGCTAAAAGCTGTTTCGTAAATTGTGCTTTATAGCATTATACCTTATTTATTTTTCAGATTAAAATATTGTATAAATTGCCAAAATGAAACTTTATAATATGCAGTAAATTAACAGGACACTTTTTTTTTTTTAGGTAGGAATGTAACATTCTTACACACACACACACACACAGCAACAATAACAACAAAACAAAACAAAAAAAAAAAAAAAAAAAAAAAAAAAACTTGCTCCAGGATAACCATAAAAAAATGCTGAACATTATTTTCTTACTTTTTAATTAGACAAAAATTGTTTTTTTAGAAATATCCCAATATTAATCAGAATTATTTTCAGAACTTTTGTTTTGTTTCAAATAAAAAAATAAAAATGCATTGAAATTCTGAATGTCCTGTTTTCCTATTTTAAAAAATATGAACTGTTTATTGAAAGTGTCCAAATACTAATTGGAATCCATTTTCAGAAATATTCGTAATTATTTTACCAAATGTGCTTCAATAACCTAGTAGATGCAGAGTGTACTATAAGCTGTTATCGATTAATTTTAGATTGTTATGTAACATGTAAAGATCTTGAATTTAGGGAAGATAGCACCGAATTTAGAAAAGTTAATTTTGAGGGCGCCAATAATTCGCAAAGCCATGGTATTTTGTTATATCTTGCTTATACAGTACAAAATCTGAGGTCCAGAAGTCCAATATCTGCACCTCAGAACCGCCAACAATTCTTTTTAAATGCTTTACGCATGCATCTTTGATTTTTCTTCCGTCATAGATGTGGAGAATCCCTATTCTTAATTTCCCTTCAATGCTAAATAACTACCTCATTATTAAAGAAACAATAATTTACCATAAATTTGTGATCAATAATTTGGCTCCATAACTGTGTACCTGCTGCCGGATTTACACTTGATAAGGTTTTTTCCAGGTGTCAGTGCCACAATGAGGGCTTTTTGAGGGGGCTCCCAAGGAAGGGGGGGGGCTAACCCTTGGTATACATCCCAAACCGAAACATTCTAGATAGAAATAATGTTGATTTTACATCTATTAATATTTTATATCTCTGACACCAACCTGGTGAATCATTATTATATTTTGCTAACGACTCATACAGCAATATCCAAAATTTTTGTTTTTTTTAATATTATTACAAAGAGTATAGTAACCTTTTATGTTGACATTATTACACAATTATATTGCAATGATTACATTGATGTGCAAAATTTTTTTCCATATCCTAAAAATATATTTTGTTAATGATACTCATAGGTTAGAACAGCATTTCTTGCACTGTGGGTCCGGGGGTCGCCAAAAAATGTAGCAGTTTTGATATTTCTTTAGCTTATTATAATAATTTTACAATTACCAAATATTTTTACACAATGTATCTGAAAATAGATAAAGTAAAGACAATACAGATAAAGAAAAATATTCCGACGCATTCTTTTTGTAATAGAAATGTTCATTTTACTTGCTTTGCACGTGACTGTCATTTCATCTGTTACTTATTTAAAAATTTTCACATTGTTCTATGCCTTAAAATTAGAAATTAAAGTTAATGACCTAAAACTGCAATAGTATATGTGACAAGTTAAAAAATGTGACAGTTTCACTCACGCATGTCGGATTTGCACAATGCTTATGGGGTCCCATAAAATTTTCTTAAATATTATGGAGTCCTGGGGGTCACGAAAAAATCTCAAGTGATAAAAAGGGGTCGTGACTGAAAAGAGTTTAAGAAACCCTGGGTTAGATAATTACATTTAGTGCTATTGGAATTAAGAATAACTATTGATTTGTTTACGTACACCCAGAACCAGATATTATTTAATTTCCATTTCCAGTAATATTTTTCTTCATATACATTCAACAGAAGAAAGAGATTAAAGAATTTTATCCTGAAAATATAAAATCAAACACTAAATTTTTTAATTCAGAAAAAGCAAAGACTTAAATCAGTAAATGAGTTAACAATTTTATCCCAAATTTGGATTTTAACTACAGATACTTTAAGGAATTCTAGAATGCAACAGAGCTATTGCACCAAGTGCAAACCGAAATAAAATTTTATGTTGAATACAAGACACGTTTTGTACTGCATAAAGAATTTAACTATCACATTTTTGCAAAATATTTTATGTAGAATATAGAATTTCAAATATTTAACATCACATTTAACAACAGTACTCTGAATTTTAGGGAAAAATTTGCATTAAGATCCATGTATTCATATAAGTTGTTTGTGTACCATTTAAAATACAGTTTTACTGCTTGAAGCCCAATCTTTCAGATTTTTTTGAATTAATTCGCTATTCCTTTTATTTACGAAAAGTTGATCTTTAAAAGAACTTTATACACTTGCTAACACAGAAAATTATAATCAAATTGTTACTGAATCTCGTAGATGTAATGTCAGTTACTGTTAGAATGTAGTACAAATGATTTCCATCCAAATATAAACCATTCGTTTTACAACCACATCATCAGATATACTTAATTTCTTTGACCACTATTAATCAGTTACCTTTTCCAGTAATGCAGACTTATGTTTATCAAGACATTATGCTATTATTTGAAATAGTTTGCTTAAAAAATTTTTGTAAAAGGAATGATGTAATTAAAAACCCTAAAACTGTATTAAACTAATTTAAATGCATGATCATGATTTTATATATTGCTTTTTATTTTAGTTCCTTCTACTTTTTGTTTATTTGCATTTGTTAATGTCTTGTTTACTTGTGTAGTTTTAAATTTAATTTTTTGGAAGATTTTATTTTTTACTTAACACTATATTGCATAATTTCCCATATTGTATTTGCATTTATTAATATCCTTGTAGCTATATCTGCACATTATAAGTGTATATAATAGTTCAAGCATTTCTTTAATACCTGCAGTATTTTTATACTTACTTAATTATTACTATAATAACCATATTCAAAGAAAATGTTCCAGAAAGTATTTTACTCAATAACATGATCTTTTGACGTATTGATTAAAATGCACCATTGGAACACTTTTTTTGGTTTCCTGAATAAACGGTTTTTTTTTTTTTTTTTCTTTTCATATATTTCTCTTTTCTTTGCATGAATATTTATTTCATCTTGTTAACTTGATATTCTTTAATTATTTTATTTCAAAAATGTTTAAGTAACTTTCTCTAAATACTGACCTTTATGAAATCAGAAAAATGCCTGAGAAATGATCTCTAAAAGTTACTCCATTGGAAGAATTTCATCTTGAGTCAACAGAATCTAAGGTAATTTCTTCCACCTGTAATCTAAGTTACAGGTCTGGTTTTTATTAATCATGTAATTTTAACAATACAAAAAATTATAATTTGTACTTATTCAATCAGTATTCATTTCATATACTTTTCAGTGCATGAACAAGAAGCGGAGCCATGAGCAACCCAGTCTGCTGCTATGATGTCATGCTCAGGCCTTGCAACTACGTACGTGTTAGAACAGCTGACCACTGAGGATCTGCAAAAATTCTTGGAGTAGCGCTAGTAAGATGGCTATGCTCACTTGAGGCTAAAGTAGGCAAAATGAGAAAGCCTCTATTTCAATAAAAACGTATTTAGCAAACCAACATGTCAGAAATTTTACACAGAGATCTGCCACCCAAACACCCAAGATAACCAAACAACAGGTTTGCCACTCAAACAGGAGAAATTCCCTGACTTTTCCAGGTTTTCCAGGTATGTTTCGAGAAAATTCCAGTCTATCCGCGTAATGTATGTTGGCTGTGCTAAGAGGTAAATTAATTATGGTATTACTTGTATTGTGTACCAAATTCACTTAATTATTCCATAAATCCCAGAGGACATTTATTCTTAATTATTCTTGGTACACTTTGTTTGATAATTTTGTTTACTTTTCCACTTAAGAAACTAAATAAAATTTAAGATATATACATTGGATAACAAATGTACGTTTCATTTAATTATTACTCATGATCATCACCAGTTCAACAACAAGGCTAATCCAGTTTTTATAAATCACAACGCAATGCTAAATAGTTAGGTTAGATTTTAGGTAAATTTAATTTGTGTGAGGTGTCTTTTTAAAAGGCACCTTAACACTTGAAAACACAAATATAATTATAATAGGAGTTGTTTTCTCCACTAAAGATTGAGATTAGAATCTGCCCAATCTGGAATAAAATAAGGCTTTTTTTGCCTTATTTTATACTTATTTCTGCAGCTAAACGAAAGAAAGAAATCTATTTAATGATATTTTTTTAATAAATTGAAGTATTTATTTCATACATAAGGAAAAAATAAGTGCATTAAATTTCGTGATGGTATGTCATCATACTGCTAGAATTAATTTCAGGATTCTGCCAGAGAAAATTTCCTAAAATTTGGAAATATTATTTACTAATGATAAATAAATTTAGAGGGAAGAAGCAACATTAAATGATATGAATAACAAAAATAATTACTTAAAAATTGAATTAAAATAATTAACGATATTTTAGCGAATATAGTTATATTACATGGATAGCCTAGATGACTGATTACTATTTTTTATTTTACCGCAAAATGACAAGGTATTTATTAAAAAGAAAAGAAAAAAAATCGCACGATTTTGAAAATTGTCGCCAAGAACAAAATGAGCCGTTTACTGCTCATCATCATGTCGCCAAATCCCGCTGTACCATACATGGAGATTATTCTAACCAAAGAACGTCTATGTAAAGTAGAAAAGGTTTCATACACGTAAATGCTATTACGCCGCTAGAAAGCGGAGGGAAAATTTGCCAAGGGATTTGGCGACGTAACCTGGCGGGCAGAATTTCCCTCTCCGCGATGTGTACAGGAAAATTGAGAAACACGTGTTAAGAAGAAACGTTCTTTGACAAAAAAGAAAACTACGAAAATGCGTTTTTAAAATTATTGCGAAAAATCCAAGAAGAAACGTTTTATCAAGAGAACGTTTTTTTCTTGGATTTTTCGCAAAATTTTAAAATGGATTTACTTTTTTTTTTTTTTTTAAACCTCAAAATAATTAATACATGAATTAATTTACTTGCGCCAAAAAATATTTTCTTTCCTTTAGAGTTTAAAGAAATTTTAAATGATATTCATTTTATGAACTCTTGATAACGTGACCTTCGAACTTCGACACCGGTTTCGAGCTTTGGCGACAGATATATTCGCGCATGCACAGCTGTTTTCCTCTATGATGGAACGGAGCCACGTCTGTTACAGAGAGGTTTTCCTTCTTTATAATACATATTCTTTGATTCTAACCTTCATATACCGTATACTAGGATTAAACCCATTTTGTTTTATACGAGAACAGGTACTTTCTTTAGTTCATGCACTGCACATGCGATTCTCAAGGTTACTGGAAACCAAACGCTGCGGGGAAACTTGCTTTGCCTTTCTAAAAGACAATCAAATTGGAGCTGCGAAAATTGGCTCTATGCCAGCTGCCCGAATGACACTTACGTGATACACAATTCACCAAAAAAGTGATCTCTTCCGACGTCGGCGCAAAACTCGCCTTTTTTGGCAGGATCGTTGTATGAAATTCCCTGACCTTTCCAGATTTTGTTTAAAACACTTAAATTACCTGACTTTTTCCGGTTTTCCAGGTAGCGTGGCAACCCTGAAACAATGTAACATGTCCAAAACATCCTGATAAGGCTAAGTCATTTGAGAGATTTTTTTAATAAAGGTCATACTTTGTGATGCTCTTCCCGATACAAATGGGGAGACCAGACAGGAAAAAAAAAGGGGGGGAAGATAAATTTAGTAAATTTTCAGTTGTGTACAGTATCCATTTAAACCACTTCACCTGCACTTTAGTACTAAATAGAAATATTAAAATAGACAGATCAACAGATAGTATCTATTTTACCCTGTGCATCTATACTTGAGTGCTAAATAGAGGTATGAAAACAGGATTTTTATATGAAGAGAACACATTTTTATTTTATTTCTGAATAGAAAATTTATCTGGTACAGATTAACGACTTATACTCTTAACTACAGAAGTATAAGGAAATATAAATAATTCCAAGAAACAGTTTCCACCAAATAAAGCCTATCATAATGAGGATTGCATTCATAGCACTACTGGGTACAAACACAACATCTCTAGCACATATAATCAAAGAATTTCCAGAAAACAAAAGTTCAGTACTTTCCCAATATTACATGGATAGCCTAGATGACTGATTACTATTTTTTTATTTTACCGCAAAATGACAAGGTATTTATTAAAAAGAAAAGAAAAAAAATCGCACGATTTTGAAAATTGTCGCCAAGAACAAAATGAGCCGTTTACTGCTCATCATCATGTCGCGAAATCCCGCTGTACCATACATGGAGATTATTCTAACCAAAGAACGTCTATGTAAAGTAGAAAAGGTTTCATACACGTAAATGCTATTACGCCGCTAGAAAGTGGAGGGAAAATTTGCCAAGGGATTTGGCGACGTAACCTGGCGGGCAGAATTTCCCTCTTCGCGATGTGTACAGGAAATTGAGAAACACGTGTTAAGAAACGTTCTTTGACAAAAAAGAAAACTACGAAAATGCGTTTTTAAATTATTGCGAAAAATCCAAGAAGAAACATTTTATCAAAGAACGTTTTTTCTTGGATTTTTCGCAAAAATTTTAAAAATGGATTTACTTTTTTTTTTTTTTTTTAAACCTCAAAATAATTAATACATGAATTAATTTACTTGCGCCAAAAAATATTTTCTTTCCTTTAGAGTTTAAAGAAATTTTAAATGATATTCATTTTATGAACTCTTGATAACGTGACCTTCGAACTTCGACACCGGTTTCGAGCTTTGGCGACAGATATATTCGCGCATGCACAGCTGTTTTCCTCTATGATGGAACGGAGCCACGTCTGTTACAGAGAGGTTTTCCTTCTTTATAATACATATTCTTTGATTCTAAACCTTCATATACCGTATACTAGGATTAAACCCATTTTGTTTTATACGAGAACAAGGTACTTTCTTTAGTTCAACATGCACTGCACATGCACATGCGATTCTCAAGGTTACTGGAAACCAAACGCTGCTGGGAAACTTGCTTTGCCTTTCTAAAAGACAATCAAATTGGAGCTGCGAAAATTGGCTCTAATGCCAGCTGCCCGAATGACACTTACGTGATACACAATTCACCAAAAAGTGATCTCTTCCGACGTCGGCGCAAAACTTCGCCTTTTTTTGGCAGGGGGGATCGTTGTATGAAATTCCCTGACCTTTCCAGATTTTGTTTAAAACACTTAAATTACCTGAATTTTTTGGTCAATTTTTGAATTTTCCGCCTTTTTCCGGTTTTCCAGGTAGCGTGGCAACCCTGAAACAATGTAACATGTCCAAAACATCCTGATAAGGCTAAGTCATTTGAGAGATTTTTTTAATAAAGGTCATACTTTGTGATGCTCTTCCCGATACAAATGGGGAGACCAGACAGAAAAAAAAAGGGGGGGAAGATAAATTTAGTAAATTTTCAGTTGTGTACAGTATCCATTTAAACCACTTCACCTGCACTTTAGTACTAAATAGAAATATTAAAATAGACAGATCAACAGATAGTATCTATTTTACCCTGTGCATCTATACTTGAGTGCTAAATAAGGTATGAAAACAGGATTTTTATATGAAGAGAACACATTTTTATTTTATTTCTGAATAGAAAATTTATCTGGTACAGATTAACGACTTATACTCTTAACTACAGAAGTATAAGGAAATATAAATAATTCCAAGAAACAGTTTCCACCAAATAAAGCCTATCATAATGAGGATTGCATTCATCCCACTACTGGGTACAAACACAACATCTCTAGCACATATAATCAAAGAATTTCCAGAAAACAAAAGTTCAGTACTTTCCCAATAGGTTATTTACTTTACTTAACCGTATAGTTACTTTACAAATCAATAGGTAAGGCTACTAAAATTGTTGTTTTTACACACTTTTTTCTTTTGACATTTAAATCAAATTTACATGGTGATTTATTATGATGTACTAATACATATATATAATTTTTTTTTTTTCAAAATAATCTAATCTTTTCTATGAAAAAGAAAACTTTTAGTGTGTGAATAAAAGGGTGAATTTTTTAAAAAAAATTAGATTGGCTGGTCAAAATACTGCAGTGAATTACTTAGTATTAATATTATTAAAAAGCAAACCCCTAAAAGTTACAGATTTAGAATATATCAATGATTTCTCCCACACAGTGAATGAAACAGATAAGAGGTAAGAAACATACACCTGACTGTGTACTGCTATAGTTA